AAGATGGCCACAGATGTTAGCTCAGGGCCAGTCTTCCTCAAGAAAAAAGGGGAGGATTGGCATCAGATGTTAGCTCAGGGCTGGTCCTCCTCACAAAAAAAAAAAAATTTTTCATTTTACTAAATTGTCCTCCATAGATATTGTACCAATTTTTATGCCCACCAGTAATGTAGGAAAATACTTAGTCACCACAACTCGTTAACACATTGTGTTATTAAATTTTCTGATCTTTGCCAACCTTATAGATAAAAAATTATTTTTTGGTAAAGTAATAATTTGCAATTATCTTACCATATTTCATCAAATTGAAGACACCACCATTTGAAAGGTGACCATTATTTTATGTACCTCTATATAAGAAAAAGAGCTACAAATTAAACTTTCAAATCATCAATTTTCAGATACATAAAAAGTTCAGATTTCAGAAATGATGTCAGAGATGTGAAAATATGAACAAGTGCTTCTTAGGATCAATGAAATACAGCATTTGAGTAAGGCTGAGTGTCTAGAAAGGTTTTTTAGATATGCAAGCATCAGGAATACAGCACCCATGAACCCCTCCTAAAACTGATAAAACAAAACAACAAAACAAAAATTATTTGAAGCCACAATCCATACAACTAAAATATATTTAAAATCAAGAATTTATAAAATGAAGAAATTATGAAAAGGGTTAGCAATGAGCATTTAATTCAGTTAAATCTAACTGATTATAACAAACAAAACAGAATTTAATTGTTTTAACTGTTAAAATAATTGATACATAATGCAAAAATAAGAAAAATTTGATGAAAATCACCTGGGACAAAAATTCTAGAACGTACCATTAAAATGTTAGTGAGAAAAAAAGTATGATAAATTCTTCATGTTTCATGATAAAAAGGCATTTAATAAAATTTAACATCCATTCTTGATATTTTAAAAAGAAATCTTTCAATAAAACAGAAATATACAGCTTCTACCTTAATGGGAGGCGCGCACACATGCGCGCACACACACAAATGCCGCCATAATGCTTAATGGTAAAACACCAAGAGCTTTCACATTAAAGCAAGGAACAATACCAAGGAAGCCCACCATTAATCTATTATTTAGCATTGTTCTAGAAGTGCTAAACGATATAGTGGGACTAAAAAAAGAAATGAGGGATTAATATCAAAATGGAGGAGGCTAAAGTATCATTTTACACATGATGTGATTGTATACTTGGAACACGTCAGACAATTCATTGAGAAATTATTAGAAGCAACAAGATCTTTTAAGAAGGTAGCTGGTTATAAAATTAATATACAAAATCGAGCAGTTTTCCTATTAATTTCCAAAAAATAAACAGAAAATATAATGCAAGAAAAAATGCATCCCAATTAAAATTCCTAGGAATAAATTCAACATCGAGTAACTCACATGAAGAAAAGTAAAACAGAAGACTTAAAAAAGAAAAGACATGCCCTGTTCTTGGATATGAAGACTTAAAGTAAAGAGGTCATTTGTCTCTAATCAACAATCAATCAATACATTCAATGTCATCTAAATCATTACCAAGAGGTTGTTTGCAATTCTTGTTACAAAGACAAATTGACTGTGAAACTCATTAGGAACACAAATGTAAAAATAACCAGGAAAAATCTAGAAAATAAGAGAACGAAGAGATTTTTAAGCAATATTAATTAAATTAGTATTGTACTGGTCTTCCGTTTCCACTTTAGAAAGTTGCAAGAGAACATCACTCCCATCCTAACGATGAGAATAAGGTAGATAACTACAAAATTATGTGTTTTCTTAAAGCCCACGAGAGAGCTGAGAGTGCAAAGAAAGCTAATGAACTAAAATCCAGAAAGTGACTAGCCCTACCTAGCACTTGACGCGCATGGCTGCTTTCACCTTTGGCAGAGCAGCAGGAAGAGGGCTAAGCTGCTCAACAAAACCACGGAGGCCAGCAGACAAGGGACTGCATCTTTAAGTCCTGAAAACAAAGTTAGCCAAGAATTCTGTATCTAATAGAAATATCCTTCAAAAACGAAAACAAAATAAAATTTCAGAGGTAAAAGCTGAAAGAATTTATCCCAAGCAGGCCTGTACTACCAAAATTCTAAACATTCTTTAGGGTGAAGGGAAATGATAACACACAGAAACTCAGTCCTCTTTAGCAAGAGAGAAATCAAAAAGGGTAAATATACTGATAGACACAGAGGATTTTTTTAAAATTACATATATACATGCATCTTTAAATTTCACTAAAAGATTGATTCTTTAAATTAAAAATAATGAAAATATAAAGCATATGTAGAAGTAATATATATGATAACAGTACAAAGATGAGAAGATGGTTATTGGAAGTATAAATTGTAATATTCTTACATTGTTCATGAAGTACTAGAATACACGTGAAAATAGGCTGTGATAAGTTCAAGATGCGTATTGTAATCTCTAGCACAACCAATAGAAAAAGAACACAAAGAGGCAAAATGAAAAAGTCAAGAGAGGAGGAAAAAAAAAGAATATTTTTTAAAAAACTCAATTCACTCAAAAGAAGGCAGGAAAGAGGACCAATGAGTAAGCGGGAAAAGAGAAGAAAAAGAGGACCAAAGAGTAAATGGGAAAATAGAAAAAGAACACCAATACACTTAATGCAAACTCAGAAAAAATTACAAAAATATAAATGGACTATATAACACTATTAAAAGGCAGAGATCGTAAGACTGGATAAACAAGTAAAACCCAACTATATGCAGTTTATAAGAAACACACTTTAAACATAAATAGACAGATGAGTTAAAAGGAAAAGGAGAGAAAAAGATACAAGGCAACAGTAAGCTTATATGGATGTCAGACAAAACAGGCTTCTAGGTAAAAAGTATTTTCAAAGATAGACATTTCAGAATAATAAAAGGGTCAATTTATCAAAAAGACATAGCCATCTTAAATGTGTAGGTGACTAACAACAAAGCTACCAAATAAGAAAAAAAAGTAACAGAACTAAAGGGAGAAACAGACAAATCTACAATCACAGATTTAACACTCTCTCCAGAGTAACTGACAGAATAAGGAGACATAGAAAAAGTGAAGATATAAAATGTTTGAGCAACACTCTCAACCAACTTGACCTAATTGATATTTATAGACCATTCCACCCACCACCAGCCAAATACACATTTTTCCCCCAAAGGTAACTGGAACATTCCACCCAGACAGACCATAGGCTAGGCAGAAAAAAGAAAAACCTTCAACAAATGTAAAGGTATTGAAATAATACAGAGTATGTTCTCTCACAACATCACAAATTTAGAAATCAACAGCAATCATCTATCTAAGACACTTCCCAAATATTTGGAAATAAAATAACACATCTAAATAAATAATGGATCCAAGAAATCACAGAAAAATCTTAAAATATTTTTCACTAAATGATAATGAAAACACTCAAATTTGTAGGATGCAGCTAAAGCATGCTTAGAAGAAAACTCACAGCTTTAAATGCCCATATGAAAAGAAGAAAGGTATAAAATCAATTATTTATGCTTCTACCTTCAGAAGTCAGAAAAAGAGCAAATTAAACCCAAAGTAGCAGAAACGAAATAAGAAAAATAAGAGTAGAAATCAGCGAAACAGAAAATAGGCAAATAAGAGAGAAAATCAACAAAGTCAAAAGTTGGTTCATTTGAAAAAATTATGAAAAGTGATAAGCTTCCAGCAAGACTGATCAAGAAGAAATAAAAATATGAATGAGCAATATCAGGTGGGCAGGAAGAGAATGGGTATGGGAGAAAAAGAACGTTAGCTTCATTGGGAATATTTTATTTCCTTATTTAAAAAGTACTTGAAAGAAATATGACACAAGGCTAACAGTTGCTAATGTTGGCTGTTGTAAATACGCTTCTGTATTGTGGTACTTTTGTCTTTGTTTTCATTTTTTTAATCTAAACTAAATCAACACAAAAAGAAATTTAAAAAATCTAAAAACTGTTATTAGCAAACAAGTCAACAATGACAAAATACTACTACTACTAATGATAATAATGGGTTACATAGAAGGCGACTAACTTTTAATGGTGAATATTGGACCCAAGCAGCAGTTTAAAAGTTTGACTTCAGAAAAAAAGGAAAAACTTACGGAATCAATGAAAAACAGACAAAATGGAAAAAAGGAATAAAGATATTATTAAATAACAAAAGCCAGTTCACTTGGGGAAATCTTCCCAGTTATAGACATATTTATTTATTTATTTATTTTTTTAAAGATTTTATTTATTTATTTTTTCTCCCCAAAGCCCCAGTAGATAGTTGTATGTCATAGTTGCACATCCTTCTAGTTGCTGTATGTGGGACGCGGCCTCAGCATGGCCGGAGAAGCAGCGCGCCGGTGCGAGCCCGGGATACGAACCCGGGTCGCCAGCAGTGGAGCGCGCTCACTTAACCACCAAGCCACGGGGCCGGCCCTATAGACATATTTAAAAGTCTTTCACACATCCCATCTGTTGTTAATGAACATAAAAAGAAGAAAATTTTAAAGGAGGCACAGTTAGTACTGAAAAAAGTAAACTATAAAAGTAAAAATTTTAAATATAGGCTGTATCACACAATGAAATCACAAGGTTGGACAGCACAGTAGAACAAAACAATATAGTATGTTCTATATCCGATATTTAATATGTTATTTGGTCCTAGTTCAGTCACTGGTATAAATTTTGTTTCATAATAAATATTTCTAATAAAAATGTTTTCCTAGTTTTTCCACCAGTCTCATGTTTGTAGTTTTTGCCCTTGGACTGGCTGATTTCTGAATGCCTATCTAACTTTAAAATTATAATGTTTACCTGGCAATTATAATTACTGGTAATTAGACCAATGTCTTGCACATAACTGTTTCAATGCCTAGACGTACAATCATTCTGCACAATTAAATAAGTACAGAAATTTCAAAGAACACTTGGGTATGTCAGGCACAGACAACAAATATAAAACGATTAAAAATTTTGGTCATATAAAAAATATATACATACCGCTAGATGTTTATTTGGCCAATAAACGTATAATTAACTCCTGCTAAAGGATGAGGCACCTGTGGCTACTCCGTAAATACTGATGTGAAGATGATTAAAGTAATATCGCCTTACAGTACGTCGCCTGAGTCAGAATCAAATAAACCAATACATAAAACACTTAGAGAAAACCCAAAACCATGGATAAATGTCATCTTCCCAGTAAGCTATTTCACAGTGACGCACAGTTTATAATAGCTTTCATGCTCTGTGCATCAAGATCATCTATTACATGAAAAATAATCCCACCCCCTCTACCGGCAAACCCACGGCATCGCGGGTTGCTTGCCAGGATGGATTTTTTCCCCTCTCCATCTTTCTCAGGGCATCAGGTATCCGACCAGTGACATCATTCGGGCACCTGACCAGATGCTCCGCGTTTCCACAAGCCGCATCGGTGCGTGCGGCTGGCTTTAAGGCCTTGGGATTTGTGCCCAGAAGCCCTCGGGAGCTCGTGCATTCCGCTGTTCGCCTTAAACCGCACATTTACTTATGTTTTGTTTTTACCAATCGCTGTCCACTTAGTTTCTAAAGAATTCCCATTACAAACTAATGACATCAAAATAAGCACAACATAAAAGGAGGTCAGCAGGAAAGCACCTGAAGGCTGTGAGCATCTGCCTCTACTGGAAGCGACCTCCACCTTCGAGCGAAATCACCCCAACGAGCCTCAGGCCGCCGCTCACGGGGGCCACCGGGCGGGCGCGGGCGGGAGCTCCCTCGGTCCCGAGAGGACCCGGCCACGCCAGACCCGCTCCTGCCCGTTCTGGCGGCAGAGAGGCCGCAGGAGCTCGGCCCAGGGCCTCGTCCAGGAGGGGGCCGCAGGGCCGGCTCCCCGGGAGGCCGGCGAGGCCCGGAGGGACAGCGCGCGCGCGTGCCGGCGCT